AAAGGTGCAGTCCATAAATCACAGAGGCTTTATTGGGTTCTGCTCCAAAATATGTTTGGGCATGGAGGCAATATGGAAGAGTTCCCCAAGTCCCAATAATTCAGAATTGCATTGGGCCCACTGGCACTTCCATAGATTTATATGAGAAGCAAAGAAAAGGGAATGCACATGTAGTTGGCAATACATGAGTGAACAGGTGGGATAATGGAAACCGTGCATATTGTATAATTCAGTGTGGGTGAAGAAGAAAAAACGGGCACAACTGCAGAGTTATAGATGATGGGAACCCAAATGAAACCGTGGTTTGTGCCAAATGACGCTGCTGGAAACCTGCAGCGGCGGCGGCGACCTGTGTAAGGAAAGAGGAAGTACGTTTCAAACTCAGCTGGCCAATTTCCAAGCACCATGAATAATGCACAGACACAACAGATCACGACATCCCTCATCAAAAAACAGACAGCAGTAGGAGTTAAGTCTAAACAGCGGTAGCGGAACCAACCCCATCCCTCTCTGCAGCTCGGCCCAGCTGCTGAAGCCAGGCAGCCATGTTTAATTAACAGGTCAGATCAGGAGTCGAAGGTGCGTCTGATTGCCGCACCAGAGGCTCCGTTTGCACCTATCTGGGCTTTGAACTCTGCACTAATTGCTTTGTGTTATCTTCACACACACAAAGTAGTCACGCTGATGTTGTGCAGATGTTTACACTGCCCACCATCTTAAGTGTTAGCATGCTAATTAGCGCCTGTCAGAGTCCTGCAGAGGCTGGTGTGAATACCAGTTACATCATAAACCACAGGTCTGGACAGGGTTGAGCTGTGAGCAGGGTTATCACAGGTCATCCTGGTATCCATCCCTTTTTACAGATTATCCAAGGTCAGGATGAAGATCCAGACAGGAAAACAGCAATCCCACTCCTGTGAGATCCTAAGGTGTTCCCAGGAAAGAAAGAATTTAGAAGTCCCCCAGTGAGTTCAGGATCTGCCCCGTGGTCACCTCCTAGGGGGACATTCTGTCTCTTGTTAGGTCTCAGTCGGATCCAAGCCGGCTCGTAGGAAGCTCTTCTCAGCCACGTGTATGCACGATCTTCTTCTTTTGGTCATGATCCATATGTGAACGTTGGACAGTAGACCAACCAGTCAGTGAGTCTTTTGCTACACCTGCTGCTACTTAAAAGATGGACGCACCACTCTATACTCCAGCCACAGGCCCTAATTCACCCTAGGGACAAGACACTGGGACTTTCCTCCAGCTGGGGCTAAGACTGACTCTGGCTAACTATGTGAAGAGACGTCCGTTGTCGTAATTTGGCGCTATCTAAATAAACTGAACTAACAGAAGACTGATATTCCCAAACCAGATGCCCTCCTCTCCTGAACTACACCTGGCGATCCTGTCCACGGACACAAGACAGGATCCTTAATCAGGTGATGGTGGCGACACTTCCTTTTACCCGCGGATAAAAGGAAGTGTCGCCACCATCACTGGCGATCTCTGAGGATGGCTGGAGCTACTAGCTAAAACACGTATGGTAAATAAATAATTTTTACTAAACTGTGTAAGAAAATAATAATAATAATAATTTTTCCCATGTAAGGAAATGAAATTGAGAATTAGGGTTACCTATGTTGTTGAAACGTTACGAGTGATTTTTTTTGCACCTAATAAATACTCTCACCCAGCCTGTAGAGCACGGGTTTCAGACTCGATGAGGAACAGAAAGCTTCACCCTACTGCATGAGGCTGGGCCACTACTTAAAAGTCATCAGTGTTTCCTACAAAGAGCTGAAACCAGTGAAATCTTCAACCACAGGCAGATTTGGCTACCCGAGCACATTACATGCTAATGTAACTCCCAGTTTGTCCAGCCATAAGTTTCAGCGTCAACAAGCCAACGTTACTTCTGCAAGTTGTTCAGATCAACCAACTGCATCAGTCAACTTATATATTTGTCCCCTGAAAAATGATGAAACTCAATATTTGGACTCCCCTCTAATGTCCAGAACAGTGTATGAAGTGGGCATGTTGGGGGGGTGGGGGAACCTTTGGTAATCGCAGCATCCCCTACTTTTTCTCCAGGGAAGAGCCAAAGGGAACATGGCCATGGGCCTTCCCCAGATCTACAGAACACATGTGGACCATTAAACCAAACAGAGTCTATAGTTGTTGAATTATTTCATTCAAAGTCACAGAATTTAACTTCATGAAAGCAATGAGTTTGAAGTCATAAGTGATCGGTCCTCCTGGGACCAACGTGTGCATTTGAAATTTCACGGCATCCCACTGAGCTCTTGACCTGATTTCAGTGTTGTGGCTGTGATTTCTCACAGCCCTTGATGTCTGCTGCTAAATATAACTCACTTCCAACTACATGAGTTTAACTCTTTATTAGGTCGTCGGCACCATGTGGTTACAAACCCTGTGTTCACTTTCTTCTTATTCACTAAAGTCTTAGTATGTGCCTGTTTTTAATCCTACACACACACTCACCCACTAAGGATGCATATCTTCATGAACGATAGAGTCGGAGACCCCCTTGGTTGCACAATGCCTGTACATCATTGGCGTCCAACTGGATTTACTTTTTAAAGAGGCCCTTCACTGATGAACCACTTTTTACTTAATATTTTTGAAAATGATCGATCGCTTGGAGTTTAACATACGGGCTGAACATCTCCTACACCTTTCTCCTGCTTCATTAGCTTATGATAGAAAATCTAAGATCTGACTAGCCTGACAGATCTACGTCACACTGTCGTGGACTCACGATGAGGAAGGCTGCTGTTGCTTTAGTGTCCAGGAAAACAGCAGAGAACGTGTTAGTAGAAGCTAACCGTTAGCATTAGCAACTCCACCACACAGCAGAACTCCTTCGAGTGGGTGTTATTTGTGGAACTAAAACTGAGAGCAAACCGAGTCTGTGGTACAGTCATATTGCTATTAGCCAATCTGGGAAGAGATGTCCAAATATCAGGAGATAAGAGTCCAAATCCTGCCGTCTGAAGCTACTTTCTCTTCTGGCTGAATTCTCCATGCTTAAAGAGGCACGCTGGAGCTTTGTTTCCCCAGAGTACGACTTACAAGGCATTCAGTCCTGCTATAGACCACTGCTAATAAATCAAAAAATATGACTGAAGTATTCATGGAGTGAAAGTCAATCCAAGAGTTGGAAGGAGCTTGTGAGATTGGTGTGTCAAGACTCGGATCAGGATAGGAGAACGTTTCTTCAACATCAAAAGACCCCAAAGCAAAGCAGCCACTAACGTGAGCTAATGGTTTGGAAAAGGCAACCAACCTTGATGCATCCATCAGTTTGTGATGGACAAAAAGGTCTATGTAAGTATATCAGGAGACATCTTTTAGAATTATGACTTCCACATGAGCAACCCCTTGGGACCATGCCAACGCCCGATGACTTTGTCCATGCAGGGACTCGTACATAAGTGTGCAGTCTATCTACAGTCCCTCCAGACAGCTCTGAATCACTGCAGAAACAAGGTAAAAGCCCTGAAGCGCCACAGGCAGAGTTTGGTGAAGCCTCTCTGGAGAGATGTGCGCCACCGACACTCCGACCTGACCAAGCTCCCAGAAGAATACTCGAGAGAAAACGCCAAACCTTCCATTAAGATTCACAAAACAGGTAAATAACAAATTGTACTGTGAAGAACTGTGTGCTGACTGACAGGAAGAAGCAAACGAGTCCATGTTCCCTGTGATGAACCGTGAAAGGCTTGAAAAGGTCAGGGGTCTCATTTATCAAGCTTGCTTACGTACAAAACGGGGTCGGAAAACTGCGTGAGCAACTTTCCACGCAAACTTTGGGAATTATGAAAGAAAACTTAGCGGAAAAATGTGCACAACTTTAAGTTGACTAAGGACCTGGCTTACGCACATGTTGGACATGGAGAGCACCTGCAGTGCTGCTGCTGAGGATACAATTATGAAATCCTGCAGCATTATCACTTGTACTGCTTCATTTTCACACAGAAAAAGACCCCCCACATGCACACACACGTGCGTGTACACACACATGCATGCACGTGCACACACACACACACACACAGTGTGAAGCGCAGAATATGGAATGCAGAATATCAGCAGGGGGACAGATTGAGACAGAATGTCATGCGTCTGTGACAGTGTGTCCTGTCACTGTGACCCGATTGATGATGCGCCCTGGCTACTTTTACAGGGGAGATCTCCGTTTGGGTGACTGGTTAGCACGCGGGAGGCTGGGGATTGAATACCGATTGGACCATGTTTTTTATATCCGCCACAGATCTCCCTGAAGAATTCACAACATTGACGGCTTCAGCAACGCTGTGCCACTCTGTGGATTTTCTCTTATTTGTTTTTCAAAAGCACTTCCTTTCATTTCTCCA